TACTTCCCTCAGCAAAGAAGTACTTAATAGGTGGCGGCATGTCACCAAGGAATGCGATATTAACAATGATTGGATGTTTTCTAGTTGGCGCTCTTGGCATTTCCGTTCTCTCTGGGATCCTGCACAAGTACATTCCACATTCAGTTGTAGACTGCAGCGATGAGCACGGTGATGAAGAACATGGAAAAGACGAGGAAGAACATGGGCATTCGCACGGACCGATGCAGGAGCAACAACCTGGATTACCTCAAGCAGAAGCACACCACGAACACCGAGCGTATGGAACCAGTAGCGAGACCTCGAATGCTGGCCAATCACAAAGACCATCACTACACAAGTCCATCTCGTCCAAGATGTCTCAACTGGTAACTCGAGCCGAGAAAGCATGTGACAACAACCATAACGGGGAATGCTATGGCGATTTCTGCGAGATCCGACCTACGCGTTTGCAGTCGAGGAAGTCCCTTGGCAGCCTAACAGCTATACGACCATCTGCTGCGATTAGGAATCAGACTTCTCAAGGTCCACACGATCGAAGATTAGTATTGGAGGGCGTAGATGAGACCACTCCTTTGATCCCTACTAGATCTGTCCCGGCCACCTTGGAAAGCTCACTCGCCAGTCTACCGCCTGCGAACGGCCATGCAAGCACCAACACACATCAAATCACCCCAACGCACAAACATAGCCGTAGTTCCTCAACCTCCTCTCACTCGTCGCATGATTCCCATTTCCACGGTCACAACCACAATCACAGCCATGGACATAGTCACGGCCACGGCCACGACCCATCCCAATCTCAACACCACCACCACGTCCCCACCAACGTTTTTCTCTCACTCGGCCTCCAAACCAGCACCGCAATCGCCCTCCACAAGATCCCAGAAGGCTTCATCACATACGCCACCAACCACGCAAACCCCACCCTTGGCTTCTCCATCTTCCTCGCCCTCTTTGTCCACAACATCACCGAAGGCTTCGCCCTCGCCCTCCCTCTCTACCTCGCCATCAACTCCCGCTGGAAAGCCATGCTCATCTCCACCATCCTCGGCGGCGTCAGCCAACCGCTCGGCGCGGGAGTAGCAGCCCTCTGGTTCAAAGTGCAAGGCCGCGGCCGGGGCAGCGGCACCGAAGACGGCGAGATGGACACGATTTACGGGTGCATGTTTGCCGTTACCGCCGGTATCATGGCAATGGTCAGCTTGCAGTTGCTAGGGGAAAGTCTCGACTTGACGAATAGCCGCAGACTGTGCTTTGTGAGTGCTTTTGCGGGTATGGGTATTTTGGGACTAAGCAGTGCGCTTACGGCGTAAAGAGAGAGAGAGAGAGAGAGAGAGATAATTTGGTTGGGTTAAGGAAAAAAAAAACCCCCCGCACTTTGAATAAAAGAACGAATATTCAAAAAAAAAAGACTGGGAGAAAAGGATTTTTGAACGATGAAGACCACAGCTGTTTTTTTTGTGGGGGATGTAAACAAAAACATACAGGAGCATATACACACATATATCGGCGTTTGTTGGTGTTGTTTGTTAGCACAATCAGCCGAGCATGATATAAGCTCTTCTTCTTCCTATATTTTTTAAAGTAGATTTGGAAAGAGCTCTGGACTCGAATTTCTCTAACAAGCTATTTTGGGGGCATTAACGATTTTGGTTTTTTTGGCTTGCGAAAAGAATTTTTTTTACAAGACAAAAAATCAATGCCCCGTTATCTCTCCTCCCTTGCATTCATTAACCCATTAACTACTACTACTACTGCTCTCGTGCATCGAAATCGTCAGATGTCCGGGGGTATTCCTCGCCGGGTTGAGGCGTAATGTTTTCCACTTCGGCTCTTGCTTCTTCCCAGGCTGCCTTGTTGCGTTTTGCCCAGTCAATGTGACATTGGGCGAACTCCATCTACGAAGATAATTAGTATGTGACACATGAGCTATCATTAAGGGAATAAGGTGCTTACCATGTATCGTCGCAAATCTTCCTCCTTTTCGTTTTGGAATCTCCGCAAGTCCTTCATCACGCCTGCACTTGCGTCCTTGGTATCCTTTTCTGCGACACCAAGCGCTTGTTCGAGCTATCAATGGTTAGTATCTTTGATATACCTATACTTCATCTTGTGTAATTACCTGAACCAGACTGTCTCTCGTCTTGCCTATTTGATCCCGCCGTGTCTTCTCGGGATCAACATCCGCCATGCCCCTGAAAGCATGCGTGATAGAGCCGAATAGCTTGTTCGTTACAAAGTTGCCGCTCGCCGTCTTCTTATGCTGGTTCGAGGGAGGAGAGTAACTATCAGGAGCTCCTTGAGCGCTCGACGGGGGATCGCTATGTGTGGGAGGAAAGTCAGAGTCTATCGATGCTCTATCGTCCTCTGATCGGCCTTGTTGATCGGGGTCGCTACCACTGCGCTGTGAGCTATATGAAGCCGCACGACTCCGTGAGGGTGCGTGGCCAACTCCGCTCAGATGTTGTTCCAGGCGTTTTGACTCTGCCTCACTTCGCTCTAGCGATTCAAGCAAGTTGCGCTTCTTCTCCAACTCGTCCTTTGTCATGTCTTCCTGTATCCTCTTGAGTACTCGGTATCGAAGAATGGAACGCACAACTCCGGCAAATTGCGCGCTTTCGCGCATCGGCTCGGAAAAGCTTGCGCTGAGAGATGAGGATAGTTCGGTGGTTGCGATATAAGTCGAATCGACTGCTTGTCCAACCTTTTCAATGGCTGCAGCAAGTGTTTGCGTTTGTTCGGAAAGCGAGAAGGCGTTGAACCGCGCACCCAGATCGGCCATGTCTTCTCCCCAGTTTCCAAGGTGCATGAGTAACCGCCTGTTAACCTTCTCCATAGGGCCTTGCAGCAAGTTCTCCAGGTCTTTCGACGAGTTCTCAAAACTGACAAAGTATGGATCCAATTCTTCTTCTGACATGTCTCTTGTCTCTGGAGGGAAACGACCAAAGATTGCGGGGCCTGGCGTGGTATGCGCGGCTGCTGAAGGCAAAGCTGCATTGTTGGCAGGCGCTACTGGTGTGCCGGAGCTGGAAGTTGCGCCGCCAGACTTGAGTTTGGCGGATGATGAGGGAACAGGGAGGTAGCTATGCGCTTGCGTGGGGTTCGCGGGATCTAGTGGAGGTGCTTTGAGGATTTGCTTGGGGATGTTGGAAATGGGTGGACTGTTCAGAACGTCGGCCTAGCGCACATCAATTCCGCACACACAAAGAGAGAGTCCATGGGAGTAACGTACCCAACTCGTGTAGGGATCGAGGAACCTCCAAAAGACACCGTCTTCCAGGATGTCCTTCATCTTCCGACACCTGTTCAGGAAGACCGCCAACATGCGCTTTCGCAACTCAATGATCCCGGCGTCTTCCTTTGCTTTTGTCGGTTTTGCGGCGTAGTCAGCCATGGTGTGTTTCTCCGGGATCGGCGGTACAACGAGCGTTGGGTGTAATCTGACCAGTTCAGCGCGCAGTGATGCGAACTCGGAATACCTGCGCTTAACCTCGAGACCCTATGCCCATTAGCCTCTTGCTATGCGCGACGATATCTCCACTTACGCCACAATTGATGGTGTACTGTATGTAGTTTACACCGTCTTTCCCCGCACCTGTTATGAGAATAAGCTGATCCCGCTGCTCATACAGCCATTGCTCTACGCGCGCGTCATAACCACCCTTCTTGGGCGCCTTAGCATCTAGGTTATCGGCGCGATCTTCATTGTAGTCGATATCGCTCAGGTCGCGCTGGCCGATATACTCTGGCGAGCCATGTGCGGGGGAGGAAGCCTCGGAGGGAGGAGTGGCGGGACGATACGGAACTTTGCTGGTGTCAGTTGACCATGCTGGCAGTCACTTGACTGGGCATCAAGAAGCCTTACGGGCAGTGGGTGAAGCCAGGCCGGGGATATCTGAAGCGTTCGAATCGTGGCGGGCAAAGGATCCATATGGATTATTGTCTTCGTCGTCCCACATGGCGCCAATAAGATTGCGGTAATTTCAAGGGGAGGTGAGGATATTTTCTTCTTCTTTTTTTGTTGTTTCTGCCTGCGCGTAAGCAGAACAGGGTGGCAGCAAGTGTGGGTGTCGAGGATCTAAGGCTTGGAGTGGAGTGGAGCTCCAGGCCCTCACGGCAGTCAGGCAGGCGGCAGGGCAACGGTGACGTTGGTCGACTTGGCCCAAGCTCGTCCATGTCAGCCGCCTTGCCAGCCTCCGCGACGTGCGCCTCCCCTCTTCTTCACACTCACACTACAAACTATTTATATACTAATGCGCTACATTCCGATGGTACCATAGGTGTTCTGAAGTCAAGTCTTGCCTTGTCGTTCTTCCTCCAAAACAAGCTACTCGTGCTTATTGTATAAACCACTCGAGCTAGGACGCTTTTAATGCCTTCAAAACGGCAGGCCACGTGAAGATTGGGCAAGCGAGTTGAAGAGCATGAGAAAATGGTGGTGTATCTAGATGTAAATATATTATTCACTTAAATCTTGGATAATACTCTCATATTTTTTTGTGTCCTACAGTTGTATCTTGAGTAAATTTTCCTTGACCCCAGCAATGTCTGGAGTATCCTCCCAACCCCGGCCTCTTGAAACCTTGGGAGATGGTAAAATGTGTTGTTTCTATCGAGAAGTATCTATTCATCTTGTCAGATTTCAGCCTAGAAACAGTGAGAAAACAAGGTCCAAAGAAAAAGGGACAGAATTCACGAGTAAGCGCTGGTTGCAAATAAGGCGAAACTTCGATCGGAGTGGAAGTATGGTATATTCAGAATGTTACCAAAGTACGGTGTGTTTATGACTCTGGATTTTTCCGTTCGAAGGCGAGAAGAGCCGGGGAAAATGGGGTTGCATCACTTCTTGAATTGACTTCATGTTGAAGAGCGGTACTGGTTTGGGATGAACTTCTAAAATATGGTCTATTTTCTCTACTTAGACTCTGAGAGTACTATCCGTAAAAGACGCATCGCCATAACTACGAACCGAAGCTCAAAGTCGTTCCTATGAAGTCACTCTATGCAACCCGGTATGACACCTTAGTCGTCCCCTTGGACCTCGCAATCTTCTTAACCTCAATCCTCCCCACCTGACTACAATCCTGCACATGCGTTCCACCACACGGATAACTCCCCAACCCCTCCATCTCCACCACTCTGCCCATCGTCTCCCCCTCAGGCAACGCAAACCCCTCGCTAGCATAGCACTTCTGCATCAGCTCCTCCATCGACCACCAATGAATCTTAATCGGCTTAGCAGACTTGACAAACTCATCCGTCTTGGCTTGGATAACGTCCTTGTGCTTTGCTTCCAGGCTGCCGATGAAGACAACGGAAGCAGAGTCCGGGTAGTGCGATGCTTTTGATTCTTTGAGTGGGGGGAGTACGCCTTCGCGGCAGAGCGCGTGGATGGCAAGACTCATGATGTGGCCGGCGCTGTGGAGCCGCGAGTGCAGCAGGCGCTTCTCTGCATCAACGTGCTGCTGGAGTTCGGCTCCAGCGGTAAAAGGTGCGTTGGCGGTTCCGTTGGAGGGGCCGAAGCGGCCGAAATGCAGGATTTGGTTGCCTTGGGCGGGTTGCCGGACGGATTTTACTTGGAATATAGGTGCGTCTTTGGTAGCTGCGTCATCTGAGGGGTTCATGGTTCCGATGTCTGAAGGTTGGCCGCCGCCCTGGACATGGAAGATGGTTGAATCGGTGATGATGGCGTGTTCTACGTCTGACGCATCTTTCACGAGATCTTTGTCTGGTGGTGGGAGTTCAGATACTGGGACGATGGAGACGACTTTGGCGCCGTGAAGCAGGCGTTGGCCATCTCGCTGGTAGACGAGTTGCGTTGCTTCAGTCATTGTCTGCAATAGAAAGTTAGTCAGCTGTTGCTACGTTTATCTCCGGATATAAGTAAGGGGCCGGGTGGGTGGCCAAGTCGTACCCTGAAGAAACGCTGGAATACTCTTCGCGACAGATTGGAATAGTAGGTAGATGAGGGGAAGTATTGTTCGTTGAATCGGAAACTTGAGAGAAGTGATTGAGCAGAGTGACAGAGCCGTGGGCGATGAGCGGGCTATTTACGTGCATGTTACATGACTGCAACAACACCTACTGTACGTGGTAAGCGAGGGCGTGCAATACCCGCGCACCAGGCGCCACTCATTCGTCACATTCTAGATTTTTGCCAAGACCGCAGGGCGCTGCCTTTTGCCGCTTTCGGATCAGCAGCCCCCATTCGACCCAGTGGGGTGCATTTCGTATTCAACCCACCCGCTTGTGCTACGCCGCACCCTACTACCCTGCAATGCCGCGGCACTGGTTGGGCCCATACTATCATGCGGATGCCCCTCTACTCAACGAATTGGTACAGGTGTCAGGAGCTGTATATCTATCTTCTCCACAATTTTATATTCGAAGCTAATCTGACAGTATCCAGTACTATGCTATTCCCCATTCTCCATCCTCCACATGTATCTCCTCGGCGACGCTTCTGGTAACGCAACCGAATATCACTCTGAATCCTTCGGACCCTTGAATCCTTCATGTCAGCCACGTGTCCCTAAATCTTGTAGAACAAGACTTTGCCAGTCACCGCAACCCTGGCCCCGCATAGCAGAAGGAAACCTGCAACCATAGATGCTGCTGCGAATGCTTGGGCGTAAACATAGTGGCCATCATTCTTTGTGATCAAAACACCCGCAATGGGTGGACCAGTCAAGACTGAGAAACTCACAATCGTCTGCAGTTGCAATTAGTCGCCATTTTCCTTTGACATACTGCATATTAATTTGAAAACTTACAAAGATCATGCCCATTCTTACTCCCGCCTTCTTCAAATCAGTCGTCAAGCTACTTAAAGTAGCTGGAAACATGGCTTGAAGACCGTTTCCTACAACACCGTAAACCACAGTCCATGCATAGAGTCCTCCTCGAGATGTGATGCCAATCATTGCCCAGGCGCAAACGATTGAAGCAGCAGTAACCATGAGAAGGATGTTCATGGGTCCAGTATATCGGTCCGCTAGGTAAGCAGGGAGAGTGCGACCTATGATACCAACACCGTTGAGCACCAAAAACAAATTGAATGACTCGTTTTGAGGTATGCCAATGATGTCGACACCGAATGAGCTCACATAGTAGAAAGCAAAGTAGACGCCCCAGAAGGTCAGAAAGATGCCGACTGCGAAAAGGCTGTAGGATGCCTCTTTGAACGCAGCAAGATCCACGATTGGTCCCGTGCTATAAGGCGGAAGTCTTGGTTTGGCCAAAATGTTCGAGAGGACCAAACAAGCTGTAGTCGTAAAACCCAGTGCCCTCATGGTCCAGCCATATCCAACCGTTGGGACTAGTTGCTGAAACATGGCTGGATAGACTAATCCTCCCGTTGCGCTGCCACATGCGCAAATGCCAATGGCAAGCATCTTTCTCTTCGCGAAATACGTAGAGACAATTGCGAGAGCAGGGCAGAAAAGGCATCCCGCACCGACGCCGACGCAGATTCCTTGAGCCAGAAACAAGTGCCAGTACTGTGTGGAAATAGAGGCCATGAAAATACCGAGCAAAGTCAATGCAGTTCCGAATGCTGTGAAGAATGAGCCGCTTATTCTTTTCGTCACATGGAGGTGATGTTTCAAGAACTCTTCACTTACAAAAGATTGCACGGAAATATCCTGCATCAGTCAAACGGCCTGAGAACGTGCCGATGAAAAACACCAGGAAGACCTGTACGCTCCCAATCCATGCTACATCAGCATGGGAGCGCTTCAGGAAATCCACATAGTAAGTCTCATAGACACCGAACGAGTTGATGTTGCCCCTGTACTGAGGTTAGAATGATTCCAAGTCATGTCTGCTATGCAGTGAAATTAAGGGTTTGGAGCATCTCACCAGGTATTCATGATGACCAAATGGCCTACCAGAACCTGAGTCCAGGCGCGAAGCCCACCATCTGGAGGCGGACCCGGATCTTTCCAGCTTGCCTTGCTTTTCTCTCGCTCTAGCTGCCCTCCACTTCCTTCTTCAATAGAGTCGCTTTGAGAGTCATCTGCGGATTCCGAAGATATGGTGGGTTCCTTGTCCCCATTGGCAGAAGTGGTCATATTGACGGATATGGTTCGATGAGGTTACTCTAACCGCTCTTCAATGATGAGAGGTAAAGCAATATTCTCACCGAAATCAGGTTTGCAGCTTCGTATATTTGCGTCAACAGTGAGGGAGCTAGGCAACCTGGACAAACGGGCACGTTGGACAAACACGTGGGGCAACGGACGCACTTGCCACTCGCACAAGAAGGCAAATAAGGTAAGAAGAAAGGGTAAGAGAAAAAGGGTACTGGAGGCGACTTCCTACCAGGTAATAAGGCACTCAGGTGGGCTCAGTCACTAGCACCTACCCTCAGTTACTACCCGTTCGACTCCACTACAAAAACAAGCGAGCATGATATTCCGCCAATGAAGCACAATGGCTCTTTTGGATTATTCACACATTGTACAAACGAATGTAACGTTCAGGTCTTTTGGCACATGTTGGATGACTCGCTCAAAGCTGTGAGGGGCTGCAACGCGGCGGGTCCGGGGAGCAGGCATCGTCTTGGCTTGCTATATGCAGGGACTTTGGCACGCCCTTTCATACCCGACGCTGACTAGATCTTGCAGGATTGACCGCTGTTTTGTTGTGAAACGCAAGGGATCTAGATGGCCCTGCGGCCGATATCGTTGTTCCTGTCTTTGCGGAATGGGCCAATGAGATTGCATATTTGGTGTGCGAGGTGGAGCGAAGGAATGCCATTGACTGTTGGACGGGACAGCTTGACTATTGTAAATCTCGGAAGCAGACTTCCTATTTCGTCCAGCTGGCCTTCAGTTCTTGTTGGCAGTGGCAAAGCACAAGTCCATGACCCATTGTCAGCCGTGCTAGATGGGCTCCGATTTTCTTCGCTGGATGGGTACCCACCATATGGGTCTCGCGTAAGTCTCTCATTCGTCTGGTATAACGGCGGGGATATCCAAAACGAGTTAATGGTTGTTTTTTTGGCGCTTACAAGTGCCGGTAAGGAAATCCATTCAGCCTCATATGCAGTGCGACCGGATTTCATCCAAAACCCACTAGCCTGATTCGGGATTAGACCCGACTGCCTGCGCACAGGATTTCTGCTAAGGAAATGCTGCATGCAAAACACATGCAAGTAAGGCCTACCGTTGCTTGCAGCCTGCCGGAGCGCGAGAAAGCTGTCTAATTTGTCCTCGAAATGACATGGAGGCGGTCCGCCCCGCCCGCGGCCCGCAATTTTCCAAGAGCTCTGCAAGGCCCCTCTTGGCTGTGGGATGGTTCAGTAGGCGTACGTACGCTCCTAGTCACATGGAAACAGTTATTGTATTCACGCATTCACTCGAGTCATGGTATATGGTTCATGGCTAAACTGGTGGATCGTATCATCTCCTCGGACTACGACTATACTGGCAGCTACCGTCTCAGCGATGTCGCACAATTCGTAATCCATCATCCGTTTTCTTCGTGCTGCCGCCATGTTACACAAGCGGACCTCGGCGGAAGCTGGATTACTACTCTGATACTACCGACATACTGCTTGCGAAGCCAGCCAATCCTCAAAGCGGGGGGCTAATGTCGAGTCCCGTAACGCTCAGCTTGAACGAATCGTTTCTGTTGACTACATTAGTAAAAGTATACCAAAAAGCCAAGCGTGAAAGTAATCATACCTCGAGTAACTTCCAGCGACATCCAGGTCCAATCTGCCTCTCAAGCAATCATCAAAGTCGGCAGCGACCATCATCATGCTATCGTCATCCTCCCACAGAGGCCCTTTGAGCATCTCTCCTAGTGGGGATACGATGCATGAACCACCCCGGGACACATATTCTTCGCTTTCAGACTTTTCTCCATAGACCCAGGCTGGCTGGTCCTGTTTCTTCAGGCATTGGTTCGCACTCAAGACGTAGCATCTCCCCTCACAAGCTATGGTTGTCATGAGAGCTGACCAAGTCTCACGCGCATCTGCAGTCGGCGCCAGATATAGGTTGACGTTCTGGCTGTAGAGAGAATGGCGCAGTAGCGGCATGTAGTTCTCCCAGCAAATCGCAGCCGCGAGCGTGATATGTACACCTTTGATGTCCGTCGTGACAGCACGGAGCGAGGACGGCTGTCCCTGACCCCAGATCAGGCGCTCGCTTCCAGTCTGACAAACATAACTCAGCTTCCCAAATTTGGAACAACCAACCTGAATCTCAAAAGGGTAAACTTACTGGCATCACCTTTCGCCTCTTACCAATAACTAGTACAATGTTAGCTCCTCCTAATACCCCTGTAACCTCAGTACGCGTAAGACCCACCTCCCAACTTGGGACAAACATAGACAACGGCACAGTACAGCGTACCACCGGACCTTTCAACCAGCCCCGTAACAACAAAGATCCCCGTCTCCTTTGCCACCTGCTCCAGCTTCTCTCTCGTTCCGTCCCCCCTCCTCACTCGCCCCGAACCTCCTTCCTCTTGCCCCTCCAATTCCCTCTTCACCCACTTTTCTCCGGCGCCCTCGGGCGTGTCGCCTAGGTCAACGGCATCCTTGTAGTAGTTGAGATACTGCTCTCTGCCCTCAGCGGTACGGCCTCCCACGGCAGCACCGAACGTGGCGCCACGCGGGTAACCACCGATGTACGCTTCGGGGAAGAGAATCAGATCAGGAGAGGGATCTACCTTCGCAGCCTTGCGGCATTGCTCGGCCAGCGCCTCAAGCGTCTCCGCCGTGCTGGATTGCGTATGCTTTTGGCATACGGCGAGGTAGATGGGTTGTTTGGACGGAGTGGCCATTTTTCGCGTCAGCTAGTTGAACAAAAGGAATAAGCCCGGTTCAAATTGGTTCCTGTAAAGAATAATCCAAAGAAACTTCAGATACACAATGATTGTTTTCTCTATTCGAATGGCGTATGTAGAGAAGGGGCAATATCCCAAAGTTATACACCCTTCCCCATCCTCAACCGTGCCGCAAAGACAGCAGCAGCAGCCCCCCGCCCGCCCGCCCGCGGCTCGCAAACCTGTAGGGCGCAAATCAATACAAAAAGACCCCGCTTAACAAACTTGCCCCTCAGGGTGCGCGTACATTCATATAGGGTCTAGTATGCACCTAAAACGCATCCCATCAGGCCCCCCATACTACCACCTCGACTCAACCATTCAACAACTTCCAGTAGCAATCCCTGCTTCCCCCCCCCCACTCTTCCCCATCTCCCTGAGACTCAAATTTAAGGGTCCAGATTGTTGCTTTTTGTTCCCCCCCCCTCCCTCCCCCCACGTCGCTCCTTCTGCATCAGGTAGTTGGTACGTACTACGGGCCGGGCGGCTAGGATGCGTGGCGTAGTAGTATGCATGCATGCAAGCGAGGACGACCCCTGGTCGTAAGCATTCCTTCAGCTCGGAGATGCAACGAGCTCCGATGTCGTTGGGGATCGACAAATTCAGGGTTCAGGTTGATATGGGGGGGGGGTGGATTATGTGTGAGGGAGGAGGAGGGGGAGGGGTGGTGGTGCGGGCACGTGGGTAGGGGAGAGGGTCAGGGAAATGGAGAGTAAGGGGGATTCGATGGGGTTACCTGTTTGGGTACTAGTGTGGTGGTTGTGAAGTTGATTGATGATGAGTAAATGAGAGAGGCTATTGGTTTTATTTCTATGGCTATATGTGAAAGAATGGAGCAGATTTGCGGTATGTGTTTCCATTAATATGTGATTGTAAGTAGTTGTTCAGGGCAGTGGTACCCTCAGAGCTTTGCTAGTAACCAATGAGCAACCACCACCCTTTAACCACATGTGCAAAAAATATGCGAAGACGTATTCAAACAACGAATGTATTTTTGCTGCCCTAACAAACAAAAAGAAAATACTTCAATCGAGTACCATACAATACCCGATCATCAAAAGAAATCCCCAATACGATAAGGAAAAACATGGCCAAAAACCCCCCACATTTGTTAGGCGTCCTGCCCCGAAAAAAAAACGCCCACAATTCCAGATCCTATGCCGCAAACAGTCACTCTAGTACCCTCTCCACAATCCTTCTATGGCGAAACCAAAATCGGGCCCTCCGACTCCTCAATCATCATGCCTGTAAGGAAGCGGCCCTCAGCATCCAACGTGCTAGGATCCTTGAAGACGCCAAACTTGAAATCGTGCCACTCCTTCGCAGTCCACTTCTTGCTGGACGTATCATTGAAGATGCCGCCATCGTTCATGCGGAGGAAGTACGCCATGCTGTAGCGATCTTCAAGCTGCGTCCTGTGCAGCGGCACAACGCGGTGGACGACGCTAGCCAGCTTGCCACCAGATAGGAAGCGGAGGCTGTCGCCTACATTGATGATCGCGTGACCGGCTCGGGGCTCAATGAATTCCCAGCGGCGGCTCGTAAGCGAGAGGTACTGGAGGCCCCACTGAGCGGCGAGTAGGAAAGTCAGGGTACCCACGTCGGTGTGCTTGTTGTGGCCGACGTTTTGGGGCTCGGTGGCGCTGGCGCCTTCATGTTTGGGGTAGCGGAGCAGGCCGAGGGTTGAGAGGGATGGGCCTGGGTCTGCGTGGTGGGCCTCGAAGCGGGAGGTACCGGTTAGGCCTAGTTGGGTGGAGAGGCGGGAGAGGATCATCAGGGTGATGGTGTGGGCGTGGTCAATGAAGGAGAAAAAGCAGTCTTCCTTGGCGCGGATGGAGGTGGTAAGGTCGGAGGATCCTTTGAGGAATTCGCGGCGGGAGAACTGGGAGGATTGGGTCAGTTTGGATTTGGAGGCTGAGGTGGGGTCAGTTGTACCTTGAGGGATTCGTAGCCGTCTCTGGTCTTGGGGTTGGGGCCTGCTTCGGTGCCCATGGGCTCGTAGCTAGAGAAGGTCAGTACCTGTATCGAGGCTGTACTGTTATCTGAGTGTATGCTTACCCAAAGTTGTCACTGCCACGAGCATCGCGCATCTTGATATCAAGAGGCTGGTTGAAGTATTGCGCAATGTTCTGGAGCATCTTCTTCCACAGATTGCATAGCTCAGGGTCGCTATTCAGATCAAGATAGAAGAACCCATGGCTTCTGCAAGCATTGAGCAAGTTCTTGCTCTCCTGAACATTGTTGGCTCGAAGGAGATCGAGGTGAATGGTAGGCAAAGATTTGGAAACGATGATGGACTCGCTGATAGCCATTGTGAGAGAAGAATGAGATAGTAGAGATGCTTGGTAGAGAAGCTGATGTTGGAATGAGTTGGATGTCGAGATAGCTGCGGCTTCAGTGAATCTTATATCCTCATCGACTGGCAGCAAGAGTTGACATTGCCTTGGGATCCTTCGTTAGGCGTCCCCTCTCCATAGTCGCATTTCCCTTTGTTGAACGAAAGTCACCGTAGTGAAGCATTGGAATAGTGAACATTGCCACGCGCTAGAAGCTCCTGATCTCGACATGTTACACCACTAAGCTGGGGGAAATTGCCAAAACGGTCCGCGGAAATGGACACAGCAGTGTTTCCTGAAGCGCTTCTACAGCTGGAGCAAATCCTCACCGTCTTCGAAGCAACTGCCGATGTCGGGTAGCCCCATCGTGGCAAAGATGTAGAGGTTGAGGTTGGCCTGGAGTGTGCTGCTGTCCCCTATGGTGGGTCTGCTGACGCCGTTGAGCCGCGGTGAAAGGATGGTTGTCTGACGGTAGGGCAAGTGGAGCCGGTGTCGTGCACGCTACAATGCTTGTTACTCGGTGGATGCCTTAGAACGACCCAGTCAGCATATGCACGAAGTTAGAAAAAGGATCTAGGTCAAAACGTGTATACAGCGGGCACATACTCCTTGTACCACGAGCACTAAACCCCATATAGGCTCTTGCTAATTGTGGTCCACAGTGGTGCAGTGCTGGCCGTATGGCGCATATTCCAGATCCGTTTAGGCGTCCCCTATGGTTTGTATGCAGGAATGGTGCAATATGTGGTACTTTCCCAATTAGTCCGAGCGATGGATGGTGTTGATGCTCGTGATTGGTGGGGGAACAGTTGATATTACCCGGTCACTAGCGTTCCTCTACACAACGCTAAGGCTGAGCCCATAGACGCAGGGCACACCGTCTGCATGAACTCTGACTTGTAACCGCTGACGCGGCCCGCTGCTGTAGATCTGGGGAAGGATTCGTTGTGCAACCGATGAATCTAGATGCCAATTTTAGGCGGGTAGTAGTCCAGTACCGAGCCATGCTAGTGGCACGCCTTTGTCTATCGTTTCAGACACGCTGATTGAGAATGCAGTACAACACATGAACCGCTTTGTAGCAGAGCCCCACGTGCATCCTATTGCTACCACGGGGAGGCGATTCTGAGGGTATCGTCTCGAGGAAGTGCATACCGGTGAAAGATCCAGTCCAGATCCAGTATTATGTCCCGACCCGTGCGGCTGAGCTGGCACGGTAGGTAGTCTTTCCTAGCGTCGGGTTTGATCATCTGTTTTGAAAGACTATGGTTACAGCTGAATGTTTCTTTGTAATGGCAGATTGTAACCACCATTGGCGGTGAGCTGCTTCCAAAGCGCAGCTGAGTCCTGCAGCTACACCCTTGCGACATCCCCTCGAATGCATGCATGTTCTTCATTATCACAGATTGTAGCATCGGTTAGCGATATCGGCTAAGGTTCAGTCGGAGAGTCAATGGACATAGCAATAATCTGCCAAGCGAAGGTAGAGCACTCGTAAGGTATAAAGTCTGGCAAACCGACTTGATACTGGATTCATTCTTCACTCATTGCTTGATATTTGCGACCCAACTCCTAGCACTCGTCCCATAAAGTAGCTTCTCTTTTATTTCCTCCATAAATTTCTTGCAACTGCAGTCATGGTATGCAAAGACCAGAATGCTTTTTGACCTACATGTTAACAATCGCAGGGCCTCAAAGTCAACGGTGTCAACGGTGTCAATGGCGCCCTCCCAAAGGAAACCAAGCCCATTGAGAGTTTCGAGCAGCTTGAGAGGTTCGAGAGCAGAGATGCGCCTGTTGTAACCATGTTCAGCGGCGGCCTGGACAGCACCTATCTGCTCCTCCGTCTTCAACAGCTTGGCTTTACCAACATCCATGCCGTGGCAGTCGATGTTGGTGCGCCAGTCGAGGAGGAGAGCCTTACCAAGCACGCCGCGCATTTTGGCGCCAAGTTCAAGCTTCTTGATGGCCGCGAGGCATTTGTCAAAGAAGGTGTCATGCCCGCTATCCGCGCTCACGCCATGTATCTGGGCCTCTTCCCCGTCAGCAGCTCCCTTACCCGCCCTGTTATCGCGCGCCTCATCACGGACTACGCCAAGGAAGTCAGTGCAGGTTTGCTGCTTCACACAGCCAATCTATCGCAGAACAGTCTGCCTAGGCTCAACAACTGCATTCGTCGTCTTGGTTTCCCCGGACAGTTCGGCAGCCCATACCCGCACTCTGTCGTCTCGCGAGAGAAGAAGGCGGAGGAACTTAGTGTGGCCGGCCTGACTATTATGTCGGAACGCAAGCTCAGTGGTGATGAGAATCTCTGGTGCCGAGAATTCGAAGATGGTCCTCTGGGCGACCCAGAAGGCTTCTGCATTCCAGAAGATGCTTACCAATGGACCCGACGCCACGAGGACCACCCACCTCAGAAGCTCACACTTCGATTCGAGAACGGAAACCTCGTCTCGGTGGATGGCAACAAATTCCCTCTCATCGATGCCATTGCGTTCCTCAATAGAGAAGTTGGCAAGTTTGGTCTGGGCCGATTTGTCGGACTTGAGCCTCTGTCAACGGATGATAAGGCTCTGGAGATTCGTGAAGCGCCGGCCGCTGCGATCATCATGGATGCACTTCGCCATCTCGAGATTGCTACGCTCGAGACCAAGACGTTGGAACTCAAGCAACAGCTGGAGCAGAAATGGGTTCGGGAAGCAATTGCTGGCCACTGGGGAGGCAAGTGCCATAACATGTGCGAGGTTGCTATTGAGAGCGCTTTGCAGGGCGTCAGTGGAAGCGTAGTGTATGATATTGATCAGTCGCGCTTCCTGCCCTGCTCCATTGTAGCGCAGAACCCCCGCTACATCCGGGATCGGGATCACTGGGAGCGCGCACAGCAGTCTCTCTGGCGAATCTGAACACGTCGCTAGGATGTGGAAGCATGAGAGGGAACAGGGCCGTATTGATTTGGTTGGTATTTTCTTAGGATTAGTTTTGTAAATGACAAGCCTGTCGCATTATCTCCTATTTGCTTCTTGAGTGATCTTGATTGTTCTTTTTAGGTGGAATCTAATCTCACACCAACGAGCCGGTCCTGGTTCGCCGCACACTATTCCCTTTTCGTGTTAGACCCAGAGGAACACGTGGGGGTATACGTTCCCAGAACCATCCCAATCTTGTCACATCGGACTTTGATTTCAAGCTCACCAATAGCATCCAAACAATTTATTAGATCGGTCGAACAACGGGAAAGTATAGTTTTGGAAGGCAAGGTATGAGTGTGGATGATAAGGGGATAGGATATCGGCACGAAAATGCCGATGTCGGGTCGGAGGCGTCGTCATTGGAACTAGTCGTTGATAACGCTGGGGGAATCTATCCTAGAGCAGAGCGAACATCTTGTAGCCACACGCTGGAACGGGAACTTGGCTCTAGCCACTCATATCATTCTATGTAAGCTATATCAGGAGCTGGCGTTGTATCATTATGATCAGCCGATGCTTGAACGAGGACATCGCGGATTTTATTTTCCTACTTTTTGACATAGCGTTTCTCTTTGAATACTATCCAAACTAGTTGAGCCCACCAGTCTTCGATCCCGGCTTATAAGGGAAAGTCTTACGGTAATGGTTGGCAATATCTCTTCGCGTCGCTACCCAAACGCCCTCTTTCTGAGAAATGTACTTCATGAAATTGCGAAGACTCTCTGATCTTCCCGGCTTACCCGCTATCCTAGAATGCAAGGGTATGGTCATCATCTTTCCACCTTCTCTGTATAGGCAGTCAAACGTGTCTTTCAAATATTGCTCATATACAGCACCGGCTGAACTGACGAAACCTGGGAGCATATGGAACTTTCCATCATTGCCTTATCCTAGTATTAGATTGACACTGAAAATACAGGATGAAAGCTCACAATCATAGTTATATGGCAGCATCAGCAAGCCTTCCTTCTCTTCGTCCGGGAGTGTACTCTCCCATGGGAGATCGATCCAATAAGGAGAGTCTTCATTATACACTTCGGAAGTGTACAGCATTTTATGGCCCATCTCTTTCCACATGATAGGTAGCAAGCTAGCTGTATTCGGCGTACCTCTTCCAAAATACGCTCCAACTGGAAACTCCCCTATACCGTGGTCAATTCAACTCAAAAAAACAGTATCCAAAAAAGCATACCAGTGGCAGCTTCGAGTGCCTTGCATGTCTTCTTGATATAGGCTTTGTCTTCCTCTAGCGAGTAATCCCAGATATCCAGCCACCTGTAACCATGCGCACCGATTTCATGGCCTTCCCTTACACAAGCTTTGGCAAACGATGGATTCCTTTCCATGGCTACAGCAATAGCCCATAGAGTCATGTTCCAGCCAAACTCTTTCATCAAACGCAGTATGCGCCAAGAGCCGCAACGACTGCCATACTCGTAGTCTTGCTCACCATTGAGGTGTCGCTGCTCCCTTCCGCCTCCTGATGGACCCTTTTCCCAAAGATAAGGCTCGCTAGTACCGTCACCATCCATAGGATTTCTCTCTCCGCCCTCTTCGTAGTTGAGAACAAAGGAAACGGCTATTCGAGCTCCATTCGGCCATTGCGCATCATGTCCGTCTTCACCAAAACCTGATGGAGCTTGTAAGTGTTTGAAGCGCGCTTACTTCAATTTTTCGCACCTTCAAAGTCTCGAGGCAGCTGCAGTGACTCTTCAACATGGACCATGATGGATCAACTAGTATTGGCGTTCCCAAAGACACTTGAAAATCAAAGAGTGAGGTGCCTTGAGATCCTTGGTGTGGGATTACATTATCTTTCTCCATATGTATCCAATTGTCTAAACCCCTAGCCATCGTTATCTTTCCACAAACGGAAGCTGCTTGTCTACGGTCGTTGTTACTGGCAGGCTGGTTGATCGGGAGTAACAATTCCGATGATGGACAAGGCGACCCACTAACCCCGCATCACTGTTATCGTTCCTCTCTGAGCATCACCTAAACTCCTTTGCGTCATTTGAAGCACTATGACCTCTCCTAAGAGTGCTTTCTTATCAGGGCAACTTCTAAGCAATATGTGTCAAAATTCACTTCGAGTTAGCAATGTGTTAGTACACATTACAAATCTTGAACGGTCATCGCTGTCGTCGTTCCTCTGGCCGAAATTGATCTTGGACACCACCTCAATTACAAAAGAGATTTCAAATTTCTCAAATAAAAAGAATGTCGGTATTCTCACTGGATCCGAGCCATGGCAACCCCGTCACAACGGAAGTCCTAGACAAGCTTTGCTCACAGCTTGGCATGCCGATAGATGAAAAAGAGAAGGAAGACTATCGACGTCTACTTGCAGTTTTCCATGATGCGAGCGAACAGCTGATGACTATGGACGGTAGGCTACAAAAAGGCAATGAGTTGCGAGGCTTGAGCTGAGCATTAACAGACTACGTCCCACGTGTGGATGAAGATCGCTTTCCGAGAGAAAACGTACATTTTCCAGAGATATCAGAGAATCCCCACGGAGCATGGGCATGGAGGTGTAACATCATTGACAAGCTCTCTGACGGCAAAGGCAAGCTGCACGGCAAGACGTTCGTTCTGAAAGACAACATAGCCGTCAAAGATGTACCCATGCTACTAGGCACCAACTTCGTCAAAGACTACGTTCCGGATCTCGATGCAACAGTTACAACCCGTATCTTGGAGTCCGGCGGACGTATCCTGGGAAAAGCTGTTTGCGAAAATCTATGTCACTCGGCAACAAGTCACTCCTCCGGTACTGGCGTAGTCGAGAACCCATTCGCAAAAGGCTACAGTGCAGGCGGAAGCTCCAGCGGATCAGGGGCAATCATCGCACTAGGCGAAGCCGACGGAGCGATTGGTGCAGATCAAGGAGGAAGTATCCGTGTTCCAGCGGCCAACTGCGGTATTGTAGGTCTAAAGCCTACATTCGGACTTGTACCATACACGGGATGTGGCAGCAATGAGCCAACCAACGACCACATCGGCCCCATGACACGCACTGTGCTTGAAAACGCTCTTCTCCTCGAAGCTATCGCAGGCAATGATAACATCGATGACCGCTCCTTCACCGCACCACACCCCTCTAAAATCCCACTCTACACTTCCATTACCAACCTCCCCCAAGAGAAACCCCTCCAAGGCAAGAAATTCGCAATCATAACCGAATCCCTCTCAACCCCCGCCATGGATAAACGCATAGTCCGAAACTTCCTCGCCGCAGCCTCAAAATATACCTTGCTCGGCGCAACCGTAACCCAAGTCTCCATCCCCCTGCACGCCAAAGGCGCCGCAATCTGGACCGGCATCTCCAAAGTCGGCGGCTTCCTAAGCAAAGCCAGCGGTCCCTTCGGACGTCGCACACACCAAATGCTTCCCTTGAATACTCTCTTCCAGCAAGCCGCGGCAGTCCCGGAAAACTGGGACGAAGTGTATCCGTCTACGAAGAATATTTATCTAAATGGGCTGTATGCGACACAACAGTTCCCGAATCTGCTCGCTAAAGCGACGAATTTGTCGAGACAGCTGCGCGATGCGTATGATGCGGCGTTGAGCGAGTATGACTTGCTGCTTACGCCTACGCTACCGTATGTGGCGACGAGTCATCCGTCGCCTGATGCGACGCCGTTGGAGCAGGTGGCGAAGCAGGTTGGGTTGACGTCGAATACGGCGCCGTTTAATCAGAGTGGACATCCCGCGCTTGCGTTACCTATTGGGTTCTTGAGTGTGCTGGAAGGGCCGGGCGTGCAAGATGGAGTCCGGTTACCAGTTAGTATGCAGATTATTGGGAAGTGGTGGAGCGAGATGGAAGTCCTGGAGGCAGCGTATGCGTGGGAGCGGGAGTGGAATTGGAGGGAGCTGTGAGAAGAAGGCGACGTTGGAACGCTGAACTTTTCTTGCAGTATGATCTAAGCTAAGTACTGTACTGGTAGAAAGAATGACTGAATGACTTTTGTTTTGGGAAAAGAAAACGCCCACTGTTAGGTCCTGCTGTCCATCCCCAATTACCTACCGGTGTGACATGATTCCTCGTCCCGTGTGATCGTCTTCTCGATGCCCTTGTCTTCATCTTGCTGCATGAGTCCCCGATCCTTGATGAAGAAACAACCTATCAGGCACAGTACCATGAAAGGTACATTTACAATGAACACCGTCCGACTCGCCGTTGCATATGCCTTCAAGATGAGCCGAATCTGCCTATCATCCATTGTCTCGAACGGCGGCGTATCGTAAGAGCTAAGAGTCAAGCCACGAAACTCGACCGGCATAGCCTTATGCAACGAATTCTGGAGTGTTGCCGCCGAAACCGCCAGACCGACTGCGCCGCCAAGACTCCTGATGAAGTTGCGGTTGGAGATGACGATTGCACGATTAGCTTTTGAACAGTGTGCTTGTAGCGCGACGAGCACGGGCTGAAAAACCGCGCCAATACCGATACCCTGGATAGCGAGGATGAGTGCGATAGCCCACAGTGGCGTGTCGAGTGAGAAGATGCATGTTAGTCCTACGCCGAGTGTCCACAGGAAAAATCCAGTCCAGATGACTTCGCCGTAGTGCCCGGAACGCGACATGTATTGGCCCGAAGCGATTGAAGAAAGTGTCTGCGAAGCGAAAATTGGGAGCATGAGACATGCGGAGGCGATGGGAAAGAGGCGGCGTGCGTTTTGCATGAAGAGGGGGAGGTAGTAAGTTTGCGAGTAGGCGACCATTCCGAAAAGGAAGTTTTGGATCAGCATGACGGATACGGGACCGGATTTGAAGAGAGTTACTATAGAAGCATTAGTAGATAATCTGAAAATGGTGTTCGGGAAGGGAACAAACGTACGAGGCATCATAGGCAGCACCGCTACTCTGTGCTCGATGTACACGAAAACGAGCACACAGCACCCCCCAAGCACCAGCATGGAAATCACCATTGGCGAGCTCCACTCGAAATAATCTCCACCTCCTGCAATCGGAATAAGCAACAGCAACAACGCCGCACTCCCAAAAAATATGCCTCCGTAATCAATCCTCTTCAAAACTGTCTTAATATCCGCTCTGGGCTGATTCACCGGCGTCGGCAGCACAAACAAGCACAAAGCCGCGCAAAGCGCCGCAATAGGACTCAGCATCCAAAAGAAGCCTCTCCACGTACTCCTCTGCACAAATGCCGCTGCGATAAATGGTCCAGTCATGTTGCCAATCCCAACACACGCCCCAATCATACCCTGCCACTTTCCCCGCTCTTTCAAGGTAACGATATCGGATACAATCATGGAAGAGAGCGACACGACACCACCGTTCGCCACACCGGATAGCGCGCGGAATACGTACAGCATGGTTGCGTTGCGGGCGAGACCGCAGAGGAGAGAGGAGACGGAGAGGAGGGCCAGGGCGGTCAGGAGGACGGATTTTCGACCTGTATAAAACACTTCTGTTAGCCTTTTCCTCCTTTTTGGAATGTAGTGGCAAGTAAGAGGGGCAAAATGTACCGAATAAATCACTCATCCGTCCATACAAGACATGAAAAATAGTATTCGCAATCAGCGCGCTCGTGCCCGCCCAGCTAATCGTGTCTTCGGCGTTTAGTTCGCGGCCGATGGTCGAGAGCGCGACGCCGATGCCCGTCTGGTCGACAAAGCACACGACATGCGAGATGGCGAGGACGGAGAATACGATGAGGAGTTTCTTGCGGGGTAGGTGGTTGGTTTGGTGGAGGATGATTGCGTTGGCGGCGGTTCGTCGTTCGGTTATTGCAGCGGGTGCTGCTGTCCACGACGGCATCTTGAATATCGTTTATTGATGAGTGAAGAATTAAGATATCCGCAATGGAGGGCGGTGGTGGGGAGACGATTGCCGAGTTGAGGGCGTGGTGGTTGTTCACTCATCAATGTTGGTGTGGGTGTGCTTGAGATAGTAGATGCGGTTGGTGTAGGATATGAGATTTCCTGATTGCTTTGCGAAGCTGACGCAGTAGAGTGATGCATCATTCTATACTGACCGGGAGGGTAATTGTGAAGACTGTGTTTGGTTCAGCTTCGGCCAATGGTATTCGAATGGGCAGCAATGATAGGGTAGCTACAAGTCCTTTCATTTTGGTTCGCCCAGTAGTATTAGATGGACTTCAAGAAGATGGTTCAGGGTTCGTCAGATTATCGCTTCGAAAAGAACAGCATGTGAGGATTCGCGCTTGGTCTATCCTGACGGGCATGGAACCCTCGAGAATCGTTCCTGGTGAAAAAGTCGCATGGTTCTCACGCTAAAGATGCGACAATTACAGATTATTTGAACCCATCTCCAATAATCTATTCGAAATTATCATCAGTATACGGTAGCAAACCAGAAGTAGAAAACATGGAGTCTGTTCTAATTTTCTAGAGGCACTCGAAGCTGCATCATGGCAAATCAGCAGTACATGTACAACGTTATTATCTTCAGGCATCTATGTAGAACAGCGAGATCATAGTTCAACCGATTGGGAAATCACGATCCCAAAGCTAAAAGCCTATCGACATCGACTTGACATATCCACATGGTTCCGGAATTGTTGGCAATAGCAATAGTATTCCCTGACACCGTCCAATGATTCTGGAACATGTATCCTGGCCGATGTTCTGGAGGTATCCGAGCAAGGAGCTTTGAGTTATGGGTTATCCACTCCATACGCTGGCTTAGACCAATGCCGTGGTATTGAGGAATCCTAGGCTTGGAAGGATCTGAGATCGACCATGGGCCTCGCGCAGCGCTAATATCGATAGTGCCAGTGCCGACATGAAGATATGGTCCAATAGTTTCGAATTTTAGGCGTAAATCCATATCATCAGTTTGGTAAGTCTCAAGGCAAATACCGCATTTAAGATCCCAGATCTTCACCATCCTGTCGAACGATTTGGATGCAAGAAGCGCCGAGTCCTTGGAGAAGGCCATCGAGAGTACTATTTCTTTATGACCCTCCAGCGTGTGGAGTCTCTCGCCTTTGTTAATGTTCCAAACGTTGATTGCGAACCTGCTAGATGCCAATGCTAGCTGGGCCAAGTCGTGGGATATGGCTGGCGTGTTGAAAAGAGTTTCTGTACCCCAGGTATCATCAGACGAAAAGGTTTGGATGCACCTGCTATTGCTCAGGTCCCACACCTTACTAGTAAAACCCTTTTCGGTAGAGGATGCCGAAGCCAGGCAGGCAGAGTTGTGTGAGAAGTCTACAGTGTCGACAGGACCGTTGTTGTTCAGTATGTGGAGGCATTTTCCGTCACTTACGTTCCATGTTTTAATTATTCCATTCAATGATGCAGATCCTAGCAAGGCCGAGTTATGAGAAAAGACCATTGAGGTGACATGAAAACCATAGTTCTTGGGATCAGAGCATCTGTAATCATTGTGCTGGAGGATTTGGAAACACTCTCCACTGTCTGCGCACCAGATTCCGATTGTTCCATCGCTGAATCCAGATGCTAGTAGTGCCGAGTCGGAAGAGAAGACTACTAATTCAACTTTGCCATCATAGCCTCTTGGGGCCTGGCAGGACACAGTACTACTTACATCCCAGATTTTGGTTGTGTAGTCGTTTGATCCAGATACCAGGTAAGCTGAGTCGTGAGAGAAGGCCAGCGAGTTATAATAGCTACCATGGCCTTCATACGTTCTGTCCAGTAATCACATCCCAGATTTTGATAGTGCCGCCAAATGACGTAGATGCTAACTTCGTCGAGTCATGCGAGAAAGTTGCCAAGCGAACGTCATCATCATGCCCCTCGAGTGTCTTCAGCCACTTGCCACTGTCCAAATCCCAAATGTCAACTTCTCGGTGGGAAGTCAGCACATCGACTGACGCAATTCTAGTGCAATCACGCGAGACGAATACTGACTTGGAGCTGCTATAAGGAATTGGGATATTTTTTGAAGGTTTGCCTTCCTTTATGTCCCAAACCCTTACTCCCTTCGTATTATCATTGAAACATGTTGACACCAGTCGATTAAAGCGGTGAAAAAAGGCTAATGAGTCAATCCTGCTGCCATGTTTAACTGCCCGGATGCAATATCCACTATCTGAGTCCCAGATCTTGACAGTGGAGTCGTCTGACCCGGAGGTGATCCAGAAGGAATCATGGGAGAAGGCTACTGAGCTGATAGATTCTCTGTGACCTCTCATTGTTAAAAGGCAAGCCCCGCTGTTGGTATCCCAGACCTTGGCCGTGGCATTCAATAGCCCTGAAATGACTCGTGACGAGTCATGAGAGAAGGCTACTGAGAGCACATCAGAGCCATGGCCTCTCAGTGTTAAGAGGCAGGCTCCGCTGCTGGCATCCCAGATCTTGACCGTGTGATCAGATGACCCAGATACGATACGCGATGAATCATGAGAGAAGACTACTGAGTTGACAACTCCGGTATGTTCCTCAAGCGTTTGTAGGCATGCATCCCAGGTGCTCACCATAGCTGTTGTGATTGAGATATATTCAGGTGCTTCGTGATGGTAAGATTTCCTGATCAGACTATCTGTCGGGCTGAACAACAACGCAGATATGTACGTCTGAAGAGGGCTGATTTCAATCGTTTGGTTGTGATACATGATGAAACGGTACGCATCGTACACAAGCTGAGTGAGGGGAGCCATCGTCCCTTGTTTCTGACTATGATCAGTATAGAAGATATATAGCAGAGTTGCTTAGCGCAGACATACCTGTGCTAACATATATAGCTTTCTCATAGAGACTACGCCGTAGGACATACTCTTACAAAGGCTGAGGGATTCTAGCCAGTATAGAAATAGTGTTTTCAGAAACCTACCAACAACCCCTCCATCTCGCAGATGTTCTGGATCAGGCGTGGAAGCCGTGAGCTTTGATTCACATAGATGGTCGATCCAGTGAATACAGGAATAATGAACAGCTGCTAATGGGTCTGGATTAGGCTTTTGAACGTCTTCGATCAGCGTGCCTATCGCTTTCAGCCCGTACATGTCCCTTTTTAGGGTTGTTGACATGACTTGAAGTGACCTGGTAAAGATGGCCTGATGGGCAGCTTCCTGCCCAGTCGGGTAAATTTCCTGGGAAGCCTTAGCAAGGAGGAAGTCTTTGGCTGATTGGTGCACAAAGTGCAAAGTCTGTTCGCTTAGGGTGAGGAAAGAGCCACAAAGACCGATGATCTCCCGTAACTCTGCGTCACTAGTTACTTCTTCGAGTGGCGCAACAAGTGTCACAAGCTCATCGAGCGTGATAGGCCGGTAGACGAGCGTGACCGCAGCCAATACCTGCTTGCAGAGCTCAGCATCATCCTTCTTACTAATATGTTGCATCATTCGCTCGTATAGGGCATCTAATCCAGGTGGAAATAATTGTAGTTTTCTCAGGACGTTTCGCCTCGCCGTCACTTGAAGATGCTGGCACGCCAGGGCTACCCAGAGGAAGGTGTCGTTCGCATTCAACGCTAGATGATCTAGCACGGCGCGCTGAGTTCGCTCATCATAGTTGTTCTGCTTCGCAAGTTCAAAGACTCTTTGCTCAGTGAAAAATTCGACCGCCCTCGAAACAGAAGCCGGATTTAGCTCAAGGCTAAGCCTGACTTTGGAGCCAGCTTGCTCTAGGCGATCCTCGATCTCTGGCCAGTTACGGCTAGAAACAATCCACTTAACGCGGGAGGTAGACGAATGCCTTATGATAAAATCAAGAAGCTTTGGTAAGTCAGTAACGCACTCGTCTAACGCATCGATGATCAGGTAGGTAATAGGAGGAAGGCCTGGGTTCTGTAGCACATCCGCAAATATGTCTTCCAAGGTAATCCATGCGTTCGCGTCCTCGAACATTTTTCTCCCTATGTGATCGTACTTTTTACGCACGCAAGACACAAGTGATGGCTGCTGGCTCACAAGCGAGTACAATAATCCACGTAATACAGCCGTAGCGCTATTAATCCGCGGGTCGTTGGCCTGGCAGAAGAAGTACGACACTGTCGTTCCATACCTCATCGGGGTAGACGTCTCCAATTCATTAATGATGCCACAAAGCAACATCGTCTTGCCTTTGCCAGGGTCACCCTTGACCCACAACACCCGGCTCTCCGGGTCCGCGTGCCAATGCGTGTAACTATCATTGTGAAGGACCCAACTGTATGCATCTTTCAATAGGCCGCCTTTCATCTCCTCAATACGCTGCTTGTCTTTCCGCGAGTCTGTGCCACATAGGTCTTGGATACATCGGCTTGATTTGTCGATCTCGTCGTGAAGTCGCCTAAACGCTCCCTCAACACCTTCGCCATAACATGGCGCCAGATCGACGTCGACAACACCCGCCAGGGAGTATGCTTTGTCTTCTGGACATGTGGTATGCCGGTATTCAATCCACCGCAGCCGATCGCTGACACTGAACTGCGATAAGGCACCTCCTTGCAGCGCTAGATATGGAATCCCAGTTGCCTCGTGCACTTGTTGTACTAGTGATTTTCTATCACCAAGTTTCTCCCATTCTTGGGAGAAGAATTCGACCGAGCTAGGTGCGAGGAGTTCCTGGAGTGTCCAGCCTCGGGTGAACCATTCGCTGTTTTGGACTTCGGATTTCTGCAGGCCAGATGCTAGGATAGTGCCCAGGGGTGGGCTCGAGACATCCGACAAATAGACATAACATCGAGCCGATTCCCGGTACCAGCGAAACATGGACTGGATAGCCAGCGACAGCTCAGCCTTGTTTGCCTTATTGATGCAACAAGTATCGACCCAGAAATACTGCAACCCATCTCGCTCTGCTTGTTTCCCACAGAGGCGAATCTTCTTATAGCCGAGCTTATCTTCTCTTGTGTTTTCTTGCAAATCTTCGAAGGTTACCTCTGTCCCTTCCCTTCCCCACCTGTGCGAAAGTATCGCATACGGCGGCTTAGTGTCTTCGTCGAACTCAGCGAAAGAGAGGCCTCCATTATCTTCAATCTTGAGAAGACGCATGCCTTTGAATGAAAAAAGAGACTGCGCATGTAATAGGGACGAATTTTAGGATGCTTAACGCGGCGGCCTAGTAGCAAGAGCGTGCGATGGTGAGGCTACTATCTGGCAAGACCTTTCCACCCTCAGCAATGTCGTTAGGAAGAGACAAGACAGATATATCCTGCACTGTATTACCACTATGAAAAGACACAAGTTACGGCGCCGTTTTTGAGTTGGGGTGGGGTGTTGCTGTTGTGTTCTACTATGTAAATACAGTGAGGGCATCGTATTGCACTTCGGGCGGGGCACTACTATGCACAGCAGAATGCATGTGGACGCAAGGCTGCGGTACGCTCCAATTGGGTGAGACATCGAAAATATGCGAGACTGCCCGGTCGTGTGAAGTTCTCAATGAAATGTGTGGTGTCGAAGTGTGTCAAATTACTTCAAAATAGCTTTTAGCTTTTATATACGAATATAGAAGCGTTAACCCACGTCACTTTCGGTACATAGGTACCGTGAAAGTGTGCACCCACACTAGTCACGGTAATACTGATCTTCTATTTCCACAAAGGAATCACTACATCTGTAAAGCAAGGTGGTAAAACATTCAAATGACATGATATAAACTTATTCAGGCTATCCATTTCTCATCGTATCTCGAGATACACCCTCTACCGCCCCCCACAAAAGGGCGAGTCACATGTGTACAGGAACGACTTGAATACATGCATGAGATAGTAAACTCTCCCATGCTACCACTCTCCATGGTAGGCCCCCCCGGGGGAAACAACAGCATCATTTATTTCCTAGGACGCCCAGCTAAACAAAATCCAAAACTATCTTTTTTGCCGCAAACGAACATACTGAGCTTACGCGACAATGGTATCTAACAACAGAGTGAAACAAATATCGGTCTCGAAACGCCATTTTGTGCCAGGCACGGAGTTGTCTGGATGATGACTGAGGCCAAGAAAATGCATAGATGGAGCAAGATCTTAGGCACGAGCGCGACCGCTGCGCCGAACAATGGGCGTGCCATTAGCAGTTGGGCTTGACGGGACTGCCGGTGCAGTTCCATTTGCCTTGGCTCTCGTTGTTCTGGTTTTTGTTGCGCTCTTCGCTGATTTGGGCGGTGTGTCCTCTTTGACCGGCTCAGCAGCTCTGCGCTTCTGAGCAGGAGAAGACTTGACGCCGTTGGTCTTATCCGCAGCTTTGCCTCTGGCAGATTTTCTGACTGGCGCGGATTCAGGCTCGGGCTCAGCTTCTGAAGGAGGCTCGGATGTCTCTGCAGTGGCTTCGGCTTCCTGTTCGGCTAGTGTTTCTGTATCAACCATCTCCACATCTTCTTCCGGTGCGGGGCTTGACTTGTCCTCGGCTTCTTCGTCCTCAGAGGCATCTGCGTCGTCTTCTTCTGCTTCTTCAGTACCAGCATCGGCGTCTTCATCGTCACTTGATACCTCAACATAGCTCTTGTGCACAGTGCTCCGCCGATCGCTCTTCCTGCGGGGACCACTTGATGGAGCGATACCACCATCAACGTCACTTGCATCGTCATCATCGCCGCCTCTCCTCTTCTTCTTGGGTGTTTTCACAGGTCGATCTGCCCTAGCCTTCTTCTCTTTGATGGGCCGATCACCCTTGGCCTTCTTGCGAGGCTTCTCTGCACCCTCCGAAGCCTTCCGCTTCTTGTTTCGGATGTATTTGCGCACGAGAGGATCGAGGTCGTCCACCAAGTCTTCACCGATCCATGTCTTCATTGCAATTTCCTGTGCCCGCTCATGACTTTCAAGAGGTCGGAAGATTCCAGACGGGAGCTTCATCTTTCCTGGGTACAATTGCATGGTCCAGTTGTTTTGCTCCTCCCATGAGCGGATCAGGGCTTGTGCTAAATCGGATAGGATGTATAGATTCTCATCAGCCTGTCGTGAAGGCGAAATTCCGTCTGCAACGCCTTTGACACGTTGAGCAACGTGGAAGATGAGAGGCAAATTTTCTTCGGTTGCCACGCACTTTAGATAGTACAAGATGTACTCCGACATGAGCTTCAGCGTATCGTCTTCGGTGTCGAAATCTGGGTGGTGGGCGAGTAAACTCAACAATCTCGCAAATACCGACTCTAGAACCGTTTCTTTTCGCGCAGCAAAGGCAGTGCGGCGTGCACGAATCCAGGTCATTGTGCCGTTTTTGATGTTCTTGTCCGGATCGTGCGCGAGGAAAAAGAGTATGGTGTAGAAGCGGGGAGGAAGACGACCTTGGCCAAGGTACTTCATCAGCTTGTCAGCAAAGCCTTTGCGTACTTGAGTACAAGGGTCATGCGTCACAAGGGCTAGTTGAACAAAGTTTGCAGGTGTCAAGAAGAGGTCGAGCCGCTTATGGCAAGAAAGTTTGAGCAGGGAGTTGGCTGCAAGGAGGCGCTGACGCGACTTGTGTGCAGCCGGAGTGCTGTCGCCGGTGGATCCTTCACCATTGTTCTGCACAAAACGATTCAGTAGGGTGTATGTGTCCTGCACTGCCTCCTTGGAAGTCGCTTCGGCAGGTAACGAGCGGAGTCGGTTGACGAGAATTTTTATGGCCCAGGATCGACCTTGAATATCAGCATCAGGTGTCTCCATCCATTCGGCATCAGCCTCGGTGGATGTTACGTGTGGTTTTTGAAGGACTTCTTGAATCGCAACTTCAATCACTGCATCCATCTCGTCTTCACAATCTGACTGGGCAAGCAGGACTAATTGGCTGAGTGCTGCCAGCTTTGTAAGCCAATGTGCACCACCATATTCAAAGCCTTTGATGCTCTTGGTGAGAATCTCTTTTGCATGCATTTCTTTCTTATCGTCGCTGTTCATGATGATGGTGATTGCATGTTTGGCAGCTTGTGGAGGTGTGCCGTAGAATGCAAAGTTCAAGAAGCTCTGTACCAATTTTCGGCTGTCCTTGCCGTTCATGGGAATGTCCGTTGGGAATTTCCTTGCAAATGCGGCACAAGCCTTGAGGTCATCCACAGCACCAGGAGGATTTGGCTTGGTCGCCGTGGGCGCTTCGCTCTCAAGTGTCTTGCATAAATCTTTGACGTGAGTGGAAAACACCTTGGGATGCTTCGTAGAGATCTCCTTTAAAAGTTCGTGAGCAGTAGCACCGAGGCCCTTGTTGTCGGTTCTAGTGAACTCAATAACAGCCGGGACATGGCTCTTGTTGTAACACAATAGGCTAACACGATAGAGGAGTGGGGTGAGGGTATCAAGCAGAGATGCACCAGGCCCATCCTCGATCCTCTTCCTGAGCTCTTTGATCGACCTGTAAACCTTGCGGTAGTCACTGGCTGGGTCCATAGAAAAGCGTATGAGGGCATAGGCGCGGCGATCGTGGGTCTTGGCAAACTTCCAAAGATCGTCCCTGACCCTAGTCGAGTCCGGAAGTGTCTTTGCGTAGTAGGTAATGAGGCCTTCGAGGTTGGTTGTAACATCTTTTCCGCTCTTATCAGTCACACCGCCGTTGTATTCTTCACACAATTTCAGGAAATGCTCCATGTACTTTGCGCCTGGGCCTTGATTTCCTTGCTTGGCAAAGAATACCTTTTTGGCCTTTTCTTCAAGCCCATTGACAAGAACGAGTTGCCTCTCGGTTCGAATCTTGTCCAAGTCTGCTTCCGTGTAACTTTGTTCGTTTGCTGTTTGGCTGTCCTTGACTACCTGTGAGTTGGGCGCTGCCTTTGCTTTTAGAGGCGGGTATCCGAGCGGTAGCAAGGAGTCGTACAACGCCAAATCGACTTGGACGTTGATTTCAAGATCGTTTACGTAGCAAGCCTCGAGAATGCGTGAAGGGATCGGACCCAAAAGTGACTTGATAATTTCATCGCCCTCGGCAATGGCACCAGCCGCCACGCCCCAAATCCTACCAAGCAGCTTCATGGACTCAGAATGAATGACGCTCTTTTTGTCCTTGACACGATCTGCAAGATTGGAAAGGATAGAGCCAGTTTCCGCCATGCCGCCGTTGCTGCCTAGTTTGCGAACGATGTCATTGAACTCAAAGTGTGCAACTGCCTTGACGGCTGCTAACCGCACCTTTTCGTCACTGTCAATCAAACATTCAGCAAAATGTTTGAGCAGCTTTTGCTCTTCTTCGAGATCAAGACCAATGCCTCCGGCTGATGTCATCAAAATGCGGCCAATGCCGGTGGTCCATGAGGCGCGTATAACGGCTGATTTGTCGTTTTTGCGTTGAAGGAACGAATGATATGCAACGGGGTATTGTGTAGGAAACGAGTTGATGGAAACAGGAGTAGTGAGATAATCAAAAGGCCGCGCAGACTCTGTTCGCGACAGACTTTGCGAGGGATATGCGACCGGATCAAGGTCGGGTAGAGGAGGAGGGCCTGCCGCGCCAATCCCCGAAATCATATCACCAAAGGTCTCGGTCGCAAGCTGACGAAGCTGCACGTTCTCTGTGGCGAGCTCATCCTGCAAGTGCGGGATGATGTCCTGGAGGACACCCGGGCAGCATTTCCACAGCTCGCGCAGTAGGCGATGTGCTTTGTGCGCCTCATTCAAGTCCTCCTCAGAAGGGCCCTTTGGTAGGTCGTCATCAGCGTCATGAGCTTTGTATGTTGTGCCAGAGTTTGTAAAGTCGACTATGACGGAACTAAAGTAGTTGCCAATCAGGCGCGCCATCTTGTCAGGGAACGAGTTGCAGACGTTCTTAGCCATGTTGTATGCGGGTGGGGCCTCTTTGCGACGCAGCGTCGATTGCTTAGCATCTACTTGGATGCTCTTCTTGCTCTTTGAAGCGCCGAGGGTGATGGGGTCTGCCCAGAGGAACTGTGCAACTATCACATCGACAACATCGTGCGTTACTGATGGGGCCTCGTCTATGATGGTAGAGAGAACCTCGGTCATGTTGTGCTCAATGTTCTTGCTCAGGTCCTCGGCCTTGGAGGGGCCAGACAGAACGTCGAAGCAGGTGGTGAAAAGGGCCGAGGTGAGCTGGTCAGAGCCTGGGATCTCGTTGATGAGCAGAATGCT